AATGTGAAAAGGCAAACCCAAAAGGGGAGCTCAAAGAAAATCATGAAAATGGAGCAGGAACTGCAGGACTTACAATCCCAGCTGTATGCGGAGCAGGCTCAGCAGCAGGCAAGAGTAGAGCAACTAGAAAAGACTTTCCAGGAAGAGGAGCAGCATCTCCAGCATCAAACTCTAATGGAAGAGATAAATCGCAGTAAGAAGGATTTTGAAACAATCATTCAAGCTAAGAACAAAGAATTGGAGCAGACCAAGGAAGAAAAGGAGAAGGTGCAAACACAGAAGGAGGAAGTGCTTAGCCACATGAATGACGTGCTAGAGAATGAGCTCCAGGGTATTATTTGTTCAGAATACTTCATTGAGGCGGTCACCTTGAACTGTGCCCACAGTTTCTGCTCCTACTGTATCAATGAATGGATGAAGCGGAAGATAGAATGCCCCATTTGTCGGAAGGACATTGAGTCCAAAACCCACTCCCTGGTTCTGGACAATTGCATTAATAAGATGGTGGATAATCTGAGCTCAGAAGTGAAAGAATGACGAATTGTCCTCATTAGGGAACGAAAAGCAAAGAGATTGTCCTGAAGACCAGCGTGAAGGACATTTGAAAGACTCCAAGGCAATGGGAGCTTGGGATGTTCTTGAGGAATGTCTCTGGGTGTGATTCGGGCCACTCTGGAGGTCATCAGAGACGCCACGTGGGACAGAGACTGAGTTAGGAAGCCCTGCATCACCCACCTCCGTGATGGCCAGCTCTGCTGCCATCGTCGTCTGAAGCAATACCAGGACTCACAGCACCAAGTGCTTCAGGGTACTTAACAGACTGCTTCACTACATGTTGGATGGGTTATTTAAGTTCTGTTTTTTGTTTTTGTTTTTTTAATTTGTTGTTGTTGTTTTTGCTACCTCAGAAGCACTCAGTTGATGTTCGTTTTAGACAGTTGGGTGTACCTCATGCTGCCCCTAAAGACAGCCTGTTTTTGACAGTCTAGTTTCTCTCTTCTTTGTGAAAAAAGATGTAATTTCTTGGAAATAAAATGTAAAACCTAAAAAAAAAAAAAAAGAATCTCTAAAGGATGAACCATTCTCTGAACACCATGGCATAACAACCTCTTCCCTCTACAGCCACTGTTCTTAAAGGAAACAACTAAACCATTTGATGCCTTTTATGTTTCCTCCCTAAGAAAGAAAGAAAAAAACAACTTTGAATGAACCTAGTCAGTAAAGAAAGGTCAAGTGGAACCGTTATGGCACATTTTGTTCAGGGAGTCTTTTTTTTGCTCCTCCATACTGAGCAAGATAAAGGACCCAGTTGGGACAGCCACACAGTGGTTCCTTAATTGAGTCTTCCATCTTCACAGAACTAGATGCAAGAGTCATTTAAAAGGAATAAATTCAAAACCAAGTGCAGTTTCAGAACAAATTGTCCACACCATCTAAAAGTGAAGTTCTTTGAAATCCTGCTGCTGCTTCTGCCACACCAGATCCTTTCTAATTTCAGGCAAAGAGCTCCTGTGTTTAGAGTGAAGATCCCTGTACTGAAGTAACATTTGACTGTTCACAGTGAGGTACACTGTCTCTCACATGAAAGTATTGTTCAAAGTTGCATTTTCTCAACTCTGTTCAAGTGAGAGAACACCATGTGAGGGATCTGTAAATGTTAGATACATATTTCTGGGAATCCTATGGAGACACTGGGCTGAGTCTGATCCATCACAGAATGTCAATGCAGTAATGATAATTGAAAATATTATTATCATAGTACCAAGTGACAAAGAAAATGAGTTGAGAATTACTATTAGATTAGAAGTTGGATGAACATCAAGCTTTATATATTTAACCAAAGATCACGAAGGTCTGAAGTTTGCAAAATGTCCACAATAAGAGACATGGTAAAAGAATAGTTGAAGGCAGAAGCTGAAGTTTAAAGACAGCATGAACTATATGCACAATGAGTTGTTTTATCCTAAAAGAAAGTCATTAAATTTGTTCCTGGAAATTTGAAATGACCAAGAT